AAAAATGTAAACGAATGCTCCAAAAGATATTAAATCTCTRCACTTTTGCATTAAACTGTTTGTTAAGTTTGTCACTCTGTGTGTTCATTACTAACAAAATAACKACTGATCGCTATTTGTATCTCTTTAACAAACTTATTTTATGTTTACATCCAAGAAAAAAAAAAAGAATTTCATGGGGAATTAACGGAGTTAAAATCTTATCTAAAARGATTTTAGGTTTGAATTTGTGAGACAGAATTTCCGATCATAACTTTGCAARTGAAGTTTTACAGCAGTAACTTTGAGTTGAAACAATAAAACATTTATATTTTACTGTATTTATTCATGTATAATACGAATCTCGAGTATAATACCATCATCTTTTTTTGAGCTTAGAAAGCATAAAAAAAACATTCATCAATAAAATGTGTATAATACCCCCCCACCAACTTTATGCATATTTTAAGTGTTAAATTTCTAGTATWATACATGAATAAATACAGTAATTTGTCAGATGTGTCAGTTTAACTTTACTCTGCTGCCCTCGGGAGGTCAAAAATATATTACACAAGTAAACATAAAATCCAAACTTTTTGGCAACAAAGAGTTATGTTAAAAACAGTATAATGAAGTAAAGGAAAGTGATTACACTACTCCTGTATATAAGACATGCATCATAATGCGTTTTTGAACAATATCTAAACTTTTTTGCTTCACTGGTAAATCAACTAATTTAAATTAAAAGTTTAATATTTTTAAAATCCACGTTTTTGTTGATAATTTATTGAGCAAAGACAATGAAGAATGTACACAATTCATTATAATGAATTCTTAAAAATGTCATATTGCTTGTTGTACTACAAAATAAAACAAATGTGACCACTGTGCCTAAAATGTTCTGTAACGACAGTAACTTTTTTCTTCATATATGTTTAATTATTCTTTTTTTCAATATGGTTGTCAAATAAAAGCACAATAATATCTCAAATGTTTCTAAAATTAACTATAAGACATGGTTAAATGCACCGAAAAATCACAGAAGGGTACAATTTAGGCCTGATGTATAAAATTCAGTATTTCAAATAAACTTTAAAAACTGGAGAAAACCTTTGAAGACGTGGTTCCCTTCATGAGTAATTTGTGCTGTACAGAGTACAGATGGATGGGGACCACACCGCATCATGTTCCATCTGTCCAACTTAGTTAAAATAGTAATATATTAGAAACCATTAGACTGAGGAAGTTTACTCTGTGTGAGTGCCATCCCTCAGCGCTGCTGCTGAAGTCTGCATATCCTGCTCGCCTCCTTGTTAACCCAAAATACCCTAATGACTTCCTCTGTGCTGCTGCTGAGCCACGCTGTGAAGTGATTCACGTTTCCATGCAGCCTAAAGCCAGGAGAGGAGAAAAGAAGGCGAAAAAGTGCAGGATGGAGGAATCTTTAATGTAGGAATGATGATATGTGCTTCCTGAATATTGTTGGACCATCCTGCCTCCTTCAGATTCACAGTTTCTCTGGATTTAACTTTTGTCTTTAGATCTTGTTTTTAGAGAAAATACAAAAAAAAAAGAGTCTTTGAGGAAACCTCTGCTTTTTCAGCCCACATGAACATTATGTGTGCTCCATCAAGAAGCCAGCTTTAAAAAATGGATGCTGAGAGGCCACCACATATGGATTATTCATGTTTTAAGAGCAAAAGCTTAAAAGCCACAGAGAGYGGATATAAATAGAATGTCTTTTTTGAGCAACATAAGGTTTGTATAGTCAACTGGTCAAACATCTCCTGCTCTTTCCACTAATATTAATATATTTATGATAATTTTATTTCAGTTATTTAAAAATATTTGGACCATCATGCTGGGTAACTGAATGTTGCCATCTTGTGTTTAAATAACAGCTTGACTGATTGGCACTTTTCAGACTTGCAAAGAAAAACTTCAAACATAGAAATGTATTTTTAATCAGTTTACTGAGTTGTGACAGTAAAGGTTACATCAGTAAAATCAGCTTTTTGTTAAGGCCTAAAACGGTGACTTTTTGTTTGTTCTTCTTGTAAAACCAGTCAGCTCATCAAATGTTTAAGATTTTATTCAGAACKTACTGTTTTGAAAACACTTTTGTTTTACCTAGTAATTCTCTCTTTTTATTTATTTTTATCTGCACCCTCCTTTTTTTCCCAAGTCCAGTAAACTAAAGCAACTTGGGTACATTTCTTTTTTTAAAATAAGACAAATTAATTAAATTAAGACTGAGGCATAATCTCTATACGGATTATTACATTTTAAAAGAGGTGTCAGTATTTTTATTTTTGTAGGCCTTTTTATATTTGTAATTCTTTGTAGACATGTCAAAAGGTATGTCAACAAGACATGTATGTATGTCAAAAATAATTTCCCAATATTTGTTTGGACACAAAACTTTTGTCCATATCTCAACTGATGATTATTTGGGTATTTATACTGTTGTCAAACAGATGTACCACTTTTCTACAGTACAAGAGGAAACAAGACACGGTGTTTGTGTTTTTGTGGGAAAAAAACGAATGGACACTGAATATTTCTCTTGTTCCCAAAATCTGCAGGTTTTTTTTAACTTCATTTACTGGCCCAACCAAAAACATTGAGGACATGTTAATTTTTTGTCTGCTCCTTGATCCTGTTTAACAATAACGTCACCACTTTTAGATTAGATTTAGATTTTTAACTTTAGTCATTTCTTAAACAACAAACATCTATATACAATAAAAAAGGAAAGAAAATACAATGAAATAAAAGGCAGCAGAGAGAAGAAAAAAATCTTATATAATATCTGCCCCTTTTTTCTCAAGTATAAATTCAAACAATTGTAATTTTCAGTTGACAAAACAATAATCTTCCAGAACAACATTTTAAATGAATGCACATTATACTATTTCATCTCTTCAACAGTCCAAGCTTAAACATGTACAGTGATTTGACACTTTTAACATCATTTTCCAGATCATTCCACTGTCTAACTCCTTGGATTGAGGTGCATCGTTCTTCCAAACTGGTTCTAAATTTAGTTTAGTTTATTAATTTCTTTAAAAACAACAACATAAATTCAACAACAAACAACAAAAATACAAATCATAAATTAAATGAAAGGTAGCAGAAGAAGAAAAAAAATATTTTGTTTGACTTATAGAACAATCTTGCTGACTCACAACAAAACAGTTCCCTGTGAACACACGCAATATTTTTATTTTAAGGAAACACACATATTACAGTGAACACCTGAGGCTAGATTTTATGCAATAAATGTTGCATGCTGCCATGAAAGGTGGTCAGTAATTACTTGTGTCTGTTGGCAAAACAGCAYGAACCAGTAAACATATCATTATGAAACTCTCAGTAAATACCCATTAGATGCATTGGATCTACAAGCAGTTAACATTTGGAGTCAACACGATTCAAAACAGCAACTAACTTTATGTAACACAAAAATTACCATTACTCAGGCATTTTTACAAATACTGAGTTAGCTGCAATGCAGCAGAAAGTATTAATTTCTTCAGGAAATAAAATGAAGGTTCAAAATATTTGACAAGAAAGATTAAAAGAAACAAACAAAAAAAAAAGCTTGATTGAGCCAAAATAAAATCAGGGCAAACAAAAATTTGAAACCATCTAAGGACTATTGGAAAGAAATTGATAGCATAACTATTAAAGTCTAAATTACAAGATAAAAC